AGGGCTGAAGAAGAATCAGAGACAAAAACACCAGTTCAAAAAAACAAATAAAAAAAAAGAAAAAAAAAGAAGGGGAAGAAACAAAACCAAAATCCACCCCATATCCGAACCCGCCTGGAAAAAAAAAGGAAAGTTCTCCAGTCTCACAGAGACATTATTTGGCGTGGCCGGCTCTGCTGCAGGAGCGCTCAGGCCTCAGTTCAGCCCTGGAAGTGGTGGTGTGGCCCCTACAGCTCATCCTTGGCCTGGCCTGCGGCAGCATCTTCCTCCTCCTCGTCTTCCTCCTTGTCATCGTCTTCTTCCTCATCTTCCTTGTCTTCCTCATCATCCTTGTCTGCCTCCTCCTCCTCCTTGCGCTTCTTGTCCTCCTCCTCCTCCTTCAGCCTCTGCTCCTCGTCCTGCTTGTCCTTCATTTGCTTTTCTGCTGCCTGCGCGAAGACCACACACTCATCAGGGCCCGGCCCCCACCTGCCAGCCCTGCCCACCCCCCGAATCCAGGGCTTGACCCAGGTCCCACCTTTGTGACACCCCACGTCTCATTGCCGAACTCCTCGGCATACGCCTCGTCGTTGGTGATGAGGAAGTTGTCAAAGATGGTGCCAGACTTGACCTGGGAAGGGAAGGATGGATGGAGGGGTGGTCAGAGGCGACACCATGGCCCTGGCCTTCAGTTCCATACCCACTACACAATGCCACAGCCTAACTTCACAGTTAAAAATCAGGCTGAGTTCAAACCCCAGCTCTGCTATTTCCCACCTACATGACCTCAGGCTGGCGACTTCTCTGCACCTCAGTTTCTTTTCCTGTATAATGGGGTCTCAACCCCTTGTTCAAATATTTTTCCAGTACCTACTACTGCCAGGTACTGTTCTTGGCACAGAAGGTATACTAGTGAATGAAACAGACAAAAATTTGGTCCCCATGAAGCTAATTTTCTAATGGGACTATCTAACTACCTTCTAGGTTGTTGGGGGCAGTTAATGAGTTGGTTCGCATAAAGGTTCTTGGGGGAGTGCCTAGAATAGTACATAGAACCTCAAACGAGGTGCTGTGAGAACTCCATGAATACAGACCAAGATGGGGCGGTCAGTTAGCTCAGGTGGTTAGAGCGCAGTGCTCATAACACCAAGGTTGCCAGTCAATTCCCACGTGGGCCAAGAAGCTGCACCCTCCACAAATAGATTGAAGACAACTACTTGACTTGGAGCTGATGGGTCCTGGAAAAACACACTATTCCCCAGTAAAATTTCTTTAAAAAAAAAAACAGACCAAGAAAATCTTCAAAAAAAGGACCATTTAGCAGTCAGACCTACCTAGGGTTGAATCCTTCCCCTGTCCCTTGCCTTCTGGATGACCTTGAGCACTTGAGGTCCCCTAGGGATCCTCCTGTTCCCCCTATGTCTCACCTGCCAGAGGTCTAGGCCCAGCACAGCGAAGTTTTCATAGGCATAGATAGTGCTATCAGGAGAATACTCAGGGTTGTCAATCTCTGGGTGGATCCAAGTGCCCTTGTAATCTGGGTTATCAATCTGCCGGGGCTTCCACTCACCCTGCAGAAGGAGAAGGGAACTGGAGGTAAGCAGAGATCAACATGCTCCCCACTGTATGCCCCCATCCTGCTTGGGAGCCCCAGGCCCACCTTGTATTCTGGGTTCTGAATCACTGGTGGTTCCCACTCTCCATCCATCTCTTCATCCCAGTCCTCGGGCTTCTTAGCATCAGGGTCAGGGATGTGCTCAGGCTTGTCCCAGTCCTGAGGGTACACAAGGAGGTCAGAGTCAGCCCAGCTGTCCGCCACCCCCTCTATGGTGAGGAGCCCCTGCCCAAGCATCAACCTCAGGTTTGGAGTCTGTGGGGTCATCAATCTTGGCCCGCTCATCCCAGTCTTCGGGCTTGGAAGCATCAGGATCCTTTATCTTCTTAGGTGGCAAGAAGTCCCAATCGTCTTCCAAGGAGCCCGACTCCACCTGGCTGTTGTCAATCTTGACTTCGTAGGTATTATCAGGCCGAACGATCAGTGTGTACAGGTGTGTGAATTCATCATCCTGAAGAGGGCGGGAAGTGAGTGGCCCCACCCACCAGGATGGCCTCTGAGCCTCCCCAGGCAGCCATTTGTCACCACCCCAGGCACACCTTGCAACGGATGTCCTTATTGATTAGCACATTCTTGCCCTTGTAGTTGAAGATGACATGAACCTTCTTGGTGCCGGGGCCACAGATGTCAGGGCCTAGGTGAGAAGCAGGTCCAGTTAAGGGCCAAAGGCTGCCCACCATTGCCAGGCTCCCCACTGCTCTTTACAAAAGGAAAACTTAACTCTTAAACTTAGGTCTGTAAATACTCAAGAAGCAGGACTCAGACTCTGACTGTCTCTAAGGGACCAGGAGTGGAGCCTTGAAAAAACACTTCACGGTCTATAACACAGTATCTTTACTTGTGAAACGAAAATACCTACATAAGATCACACAAATCAACAGACTTAAACCAATAATAACAATGCAATAAATTGCTACTATGACTATCCCCTCAGCTTCCCCTTCAAAAAAAAAAAAAAAAAAAAGCCTGCCTTTGGGTTTCCTATGCTCTCGAGACCACCTTTCATGGGATACAAGGAACCCATGGGATCTCAGTCTTCCTCTAACTAATCAGAGGTCAACACCAGGGCGGGGCCCCTCACCAAACATAATGTTGTATTCAGAGTCTCCATGCATGTCTGTCTGGTCCAAACTATCTGGAAATAGCTTCACGTAGCCGCCCCCGCAGTCGATGTTCTGCTCGTGTTTCACGGTGAACTGCACCACCAACGTCTGGTCCTTGTTGCTGAAGGGCTCAAATCTGGCCGACAGGGCGTAAAAGCGGGCATCCTGGCTCGTCTGCAGCCCTAGCAGGGGATGGTAGTGAGGTCACAGCTGGCCCCAACCCCCAGGGAACCCTAAGAATAAAAAATACAGACGACTCTCCCCCACTTCCTCCGCCTGCCCTGCTCCTGGAGATGCCCAGTCTATGCAATGACTAGTGCTTCCTTCAGGAAGTCCTCCTGGACCTGATCACCATACCCAGGCTCTTACCTTTATCTTTGTCCAGGTCTCCGTAGAACTTGCCAGCACTGAGGACGAATTTGCCAAAATCCGACTTGTGTTTGGATTCAATCCAGCGGTTGGTCCACCCGTCTACGGGATCAGAGAGGCAAGTCAGCGCGGCTGTGCTGATTCCGCCCAACACCACCACCAAACATCTGCCAGGAGCCACAAACTGCTGCAGGCAAGGAGATCTCCCTCCCTCTTGAGTGCCCCCATCCCAACCAACCACTAGTTTGACACCTCCGGTGGCTTAAAAGATTCTCAGGCGAACCCTAACTCCCGTCGCGGGAGGCCACTGCGCCCTCCATGTTCCCCAGGGACGCGGAAAGAAGGATCGCCTGCGGTTCTAGTCCCCGGTGACCACCGTGTTGGCCCTCAGAGCAACAATTACAGGCCACAACGGAGATCTGGGCTGGGGGGCCGGTCGCGTCGTCGGGGCGGCCTTGAGGCGTTACCTCCGTCCAGAAACTGCTCCTTAAAGTTGATGACGGGTTCGGCGGCAGCCAGGCCGAAAAGGCACAGCAGCAGCGGCACGGGTAGCAGCATGGCGGGCCGAAGGGGGCGGCGGAGCGCGGTCCCTTTAACTCGTTCCTCAGACAGCAGCTCTGCAGCAGGGACGGACGCTAGCTCTGGCCGCGTGCTTTTATACCCGACCGTCCCTCAAACAACCTGGCCCTGCCTCTTGGCCCGCCCTCCACGCCTTTTCATTGGTCAATGGCCACGTCTCTGCCTTCCCATTGGGCTCTCGTCGTCTCAGCATGTTCGGCTGTGCCTCGGAACACTGGGTTCCCAGATGGCCGATTTCTATTGGCCGCACCGCTCGCCAATGAGGGTCGACCACGCGTTGTGGGGGACGCCCACCAGTGAGGTGGGGGCCACCAACCCCTCAGACTAGGTCATGTGACCACTCTTCAGCCCAACCCCGCCCTCTCGCGCGTGCATTTCTCCGGATTTGGGCGTTTAAAGAACCCGCGCGAGCGCAGGTGTCGCTGCGCTGGACTTAGGACCCTACCCCAACCTCGCTTTCTCTCATTCTCTGCGGGGAGCGGTGGGCAAGGTTTTCCTTTCCACCTCCACCCTGCATTTGGGGAACTCCCACTACGCCGCGCTGTTTCTCTCTCCTACCCCTACCCCCTTCGCCCCCCAGGCTGAGGCAGAGGGCACAAGGACTGGGGCCCTGGAGCTTCACTTCACCCCGGCGCCACAGCTATGCAGGCCATTGGGGAGAGTGCTAGCTCTCTCTTCTGTGCGGCCCCTAGTGCCTGGTAGCCTGGCGGACTGCTGCTGTGTGACCTGGGGCAAGTCACTTAGCCTCTGAAGTCATAGGAATTCCTGGGAGGCCAGGAGGAGCGACCCAGGGCAGCTGCTGCCCAGCAGAAATGCTTTCAAAGTTTTTTAAGGATGGCCTGGGACAGACAGAAGGAAATCCCGAAGACTCAAAGATGTCACTATAGGATTTGACTCCTAGGGAGGGATAGGGTTGTTCCCTAGTTGGTGGCCTCTCCTTTACCCTCCACCCCCATCCAGAAAATGAAAGGGGTCGCTGCCTTGTGGTCTCCCACAAACTGACTGGCTTTTGCAATTAAACCGCCAAAGAGGAGAGGGCAGGGGGTTCCGTTAGGGAGGGAAAAAAGACAGATGGTGGGGAAGATAAGAATCAAGGGAAAGGGGTAGGACCCCTGAGTCTAGAAGCTTCTTCTGAAGCCAGAACCATGTGACTGACAATGTGGGACACCAGCTCCCTGCCTCCAGTCTGCAGGAAGGAGGAAGGAGGGCTGGGTGTGTCCCACACTCTAAGCAAACAGGCCTAAGACCTGGAAACTTGGGAGTGGACTGCAGAAAGCAGGGAGGGAAGGATTCCTGGCAAAAGATTGGGGAGGTGGTGCTTCTGCAATAGTGATGGGGACTCAGAAAAGGGAAGCATGAGGAGTGTTGGAGAAGTTGGGATTCTGACCCTTCCCCCCAGGCAGTATCCGGTATGGCCCAACCTGGCCCCTCTTATGAGGAGCCCCCAGTCTGGGATGGTCACTTCAGGCCTGTCACTGACTGTCCTGCCTTCCCTCTCTTTAACCAAGTGTCTTGGACACATGGGTTTGGTGCTTCCTGCCTGAGGGTAGACACTGTGCTTGTCTTGTTCACTTCACCATCCCTTAGTGTCTCCTGCAGCACCTGACACACAACAGGCTTAAAATCTATTTGATCTGTGACAGAAAGAAGGACGCTTGAGGAAATTAAATAAAAATGGAGAAAATGCTTTGAAGGAAAATAAGGGATTTTAAGGAATGCATTCTGAATTTTTTTATCAGGACTTCACTGTAGGGTCAGGGTTAGGAGATATTAGTAATCTCATTTTCTGGGCTCAAATAACAATTGTGATGGTTAAATGAGTAAATGCATACTGCTTAAAATAGTGCCTGACACACAATCCACATGCAATTTAGTATTAACAAATACTGTGTACATGCGTGGGCACTATTTCACTTAATTCTCACAATAACCCAGGTTCATATTATCTAATGTACATCCAGATGATGAACTGAAGCACGGGAAGATTAAGAGATCTGGGTGGGCCGGCTGAGTAGCGCATTGGTTAAGAGTTGGCTTGGGACGCCAGCTCTGAGCAGCATGGGCCCTGGTTCGGATCCCACATGAGGGCCAGTGACATTGCCCTCTATAGCTAAGATGGTGAACAACCATCTGGAGCTGGAGCTGGGCTGCTGTGAGTTGCCGGCGATGGTGTAGGCTGCAGCCCCTGCTGCAGTGGGCTGCTGTGAGCTACTGTGAGTGGCTGGCAGCCAGTGTGAGCTGCTGTGAGCCACCTTGAGCAGCCATACAATGGCCGGGGAGCAACCGCCTCACCCGGGTAGAGCGCAAGGATAATACCAACATAGGCCAGTGAAGCGTCGTCCTTCACAACTAGACTGAGGAACAAAAGGACAGAAACTTGTCTGTTCCCCTTCCCTGATTCCCCAATGCTGTTTCTCTCCCTCAATTACCCAATAAAATCTTAAAAAAAAAATA